CACACACACACACACACACACACTCTCTCTCGGTCTCACACACACACACTCTCTCGCTCTGTCTCACACACACACACACACACACACACACTACAGTACTGCTCTAGAGGAGATCTGCATGGAGGAATGGGCCAAAATACCAGCAACAGTGTGTGAAAACCTTGTGAAGACTTACAGAAAACGTTTGACCTCTGTCATTGCCAACAAAGGGTATATAACAAAGTATTGAGATGAAATTTTGTTATTGACCAAATACTTATTTTCCACCATAATTTGCAAATAAATTCTTTAAAAATCCTACAATGTGATTTTCTGGATTTTGTTTCTCATTTTGTCTCTCATAGTTGAGGTATACCTATGATGAAAATTACAGGCCTCTCTCATCTTTTTAAGTGGGAGAACTTGCACAATTGGTGGCTGACTAAATACTTTTTTTCCCCACTGTATATATATATATATATAGGAGGGAGGGAGGGAGACCAACTCTATGTAATTGGCTGTGCTTCATGGGACTAGGCTATGGACGCTTTTTATTATTTTCGCCATGGAATAAAAACAAAGGTAATTGTGACTTTTTAAATCTAGTTAGAAACTCACATTTCTGACTTTTCTATTCTCAGAATTGCAATTACGAGATATAACTTCACAATTCATACTTTTTTAAATTTTTTTTTATTTTTAAAGAATGGCAAGTTATTAATTGCGAGTAAACGTAATGTCAGAATTCTGAGCAAAAACATAAATGTCAGAAATGCAAGATTTAAACCTGCGTCTGTGAGATATAAGCTTGCAATCCTAAAACAAAAAAAAAAAGTCAGTTCTAAGAATTAAACTTGCAATTAAGAGAAAAAGTCTCAAGGGTCAGATAAAAAGTCAGTTATCTTTTTTTTTTCCCATGGAGAATATAAACTTCCGCAGTGGCCGGGGCTGAAGTGCTGTTCTGGCATGATTTTCTCGCCCCATCTCTCTGATTGGTGGAGACCGCTTTGAGAATCATAGGTATATTTTCAATAAAAGCACATACGATCGATTCACAACCTGAGAGCTCAAACACTAGATCCGTCTTTAACAGTTTGTAAGTTATCACCATTATTAAAAATGTCCCTATGGAGAAAATGAATGGAGTTTTCACTTCCTGAACCGACTGGTGGCTCAACTGATGTACGACACAGACAACACACAGCGTTCCCATCTAACCTTCCCAGCGATGGCCATGGGCCGGTCAAAGATGCCATGCATGCCCAGGATAGCCGACTGCGGCGGGTTGATGATGGGAGTCCCGAACATAGAGCCGAACACTCCTCCGTTGCTGATGGTGAAGGTGCCGCCGTCCATGTCCTCCACAGCCAGCTCGTTCTTACGAGCCTACGACGAAAACAAGTCAGAAACTGGCCAGACATGGGGGAAAAAAACACCCAATCCCACAATCTAACATTTAGAAGAAAAACACCCTTCCTTCTCTTCTCTGCTTCCTAATCATCGTCTCATAAATCTGCTACCGTACATTATGATTGTTGTAAGCTCTTAGGTGAATTACTTTTGTTCTTTGGATGAAAGTGTCTGTGCATAAATGTGACCCTGGAGCACAAAACCAGTCATATAAGGGTAAATTTTTCAAAATTGAGATTTATACATCATGAATAAATAATCTTTCCATTGATGTATGGTTTGTTAGGATAGGACAATATTTGGCTGAGATACAACTATTTGAAAATCTGGAATCTGAGGGTGCAAAAAAAATCTAAATATTGAGAAAATCTTCTTTAAAGTTGTCCAAATGAAGTTCTTAGCAATGCATATTACTAATCAAACATTAAGTTTTGATATATTTACAGTAGGACATTTACTAAATATCTTCATGGAACATGATCTTTACTTAATATCCTAATGATTTTTGGCATAAAAGAGAAATGTATAATTGTGACCCATACAATGTATTGTTGGCTATTGCTACAAATATCCCCCAGCGACTTAACTCTGCTTTTGTGCTGCAGGGACACACATGTGAAACATGCCCTGATGAACGCTCGAAAAAAACAGCATTAGAGGAATAAACCGCAGCGTTTTTCAGAAATTATACGGTTTTACCTTCGGGGTCGCGACTGCCACACTGATATCCACATAATCCCGATACACGATCTCTTTGGTTGTGTCATCAATGACTGTACAGTACAGATAAAACAACAGTTAATAGCTTTCAATGTATATGTGATTTGTTCTTTACAGGTTATTTGATTAATTACTTGAAACACTTTGGAAAAAAAAGTGACCAGTGTCATTTTATTATCACTGGCATACTATTCGTTTTTAATATTTTGAATACATTTTTATATTTTCTTGTTTTTTCTAATTTTAAAGTTTTAGTAATTTTTTATATTAAGTTATATTAGTGTAATTTTATTTTAGGCAACTAGCTGAAATAAAAGTAGTTGAATCATTTATTTCAGTGAACATTTATTTTATTGGAAGCAAAACTAAAATCACAAAACAAACTTTTGTTAGTTAACTATGACTCTAATGGGTGCAGTATCTATTTTAGCGTTCGGTCAGACACGACCAGCAGGTACATGCTAGTATCCGATGAAGAACATGAAATGGTGAGACTCTGGGCAAATATAGACACACACTGGCCTGATGAAACCGTGTTAAACGTGCCTGTCTATGTAGGCCAAGCCAATGAGGTTTGGAAGGAAAGAGAGGAGGGGGGCAACAGAAAGGTAATCTGTAAAACGTGTTCTTTAGACTCGAACAGACGACCACATAACCACACACGCTTAATCTGAAGTGGTGAGATGCTGAGGCTGAACTAGCAAGTACAGTATAAAAACCATTACGCCTATGGAGAGTCCCCACAAGGATAGCCGACCAGACGTGTGTGTGTGAACGTACCAGCGTTAACAGCAGGCTGGTCTGTCAAAGCGTAGGCAGCCGCTTTCACAAACACAGACATGAAGCCCAGTTTGATGCCATGTTTCTTCAGGAAAGCATCTTTATACTGTTTCCTCATCTCTGTGATGTTGCTGTCACGGAGAAACAGAAACACGTAAGACAACGGCAGCCAAGCATTACAACAAGGAACAGTTACTCACTCTCATGTTGCTCCAACTTTCTTCTGTCAAATAGAGTGGTGGAACTATCACGTCACTTTGTAGGCAAAAACCCGGAAGCGAGTTAGCATTTCAGCACATCGTCCCAGAGTCAATGGGTTTTTTTGAATGGGAGTTTGGTTAAATCCCTAAAATAAGGTCCGTGGTTCACACAAGCTCAAGATACTTTCACGTTTTATTCTACGACATAAAACACACCAGTTACACCGCACTCGTGATTTATTAAAACTGCTACGTTTCTTAAAAAAGATGGTTGCTTACAAGTTGCTAAACGGGACTACAGGCGCAGTCGGAGACATTAAACGTCATCACGCCCAACAGTTTACAGTATTTTCCAGTCGTTGTATAATTTATAGTTCAATTCATTGTAGAATAACCAATTAATAGTTTTCTGCATTTTATATTGTTGTTCGACAGTGTTTATTGCTTTGCCCCGAAACAAAACGATAGATGAAATGTGGTACTTTATTCACTAAAATAAATTTGATCTTACCATATCCAAAAACTCGCTCACTCTGCTGTTATTGAATAGATTAAATGCACTAGAATTTTAGTGAATAGTACGTGAAGACACGTTTTTAATTAATATTCATATTAATCAAGGATTTATAGACTTTTAATGCACTTTATTTATTTCAAAATGTACAGAAATACGTGCTTTCATATGTCCTTTAGTTATGATCATTTCACTTATTCACTATTATTTATTACTATTGTCTCATTTCAGTTTGGCTCTAGTTTTGTATTTATTCCAGTTTATATGAAAAGGTTAATGTAGCGTGGATTAAAATTCATATACAGAGTAAATCCTTTTCACTGAACACGTTAAAAATACGTTTGAAAACGTTGTCGGGAGCAGGTGTTGGTGACGTTGAAGGCGAGCGACCGTGGTGCTGCTGTTCGTTTATAGCCAAAGTTTAGCTTTTAAAGGTGAGGTAAGTGATTTCTGGTAGCCAATGAAATCACCAAAACAAACACAACCCTCCCCCAAAAGGGTCTCGCCCCTATTTTGATAGCTCCGTCCCTTAGGACCATGTGATATTTCAGTTTTTCTTTTTTAATAAATCTGCAAAAATGTCAACAATTCTGTGTTTTTCTGTCAATATGGGGTGCTGTGTGTACATTAATGAGCAAAAAAAATTAACTTAAATGATTTTAGCAAATATGGCTGCAATATAACAGAGTGAAAGATTTAAAGGGGTCTGAATATTTTCCGTACCCACTGTATATATATATATATATATATATACACATACATATCTATGGTCTACACTGGATGCGGCGCGGCGCAACATGACAAATCCCCGACAGAAAACTGCTGCCGGGCTCCATTCATGACGTATTGACAAGTTTCATATGATTTTCAACGGTCGCTTTGACGCGTCCAGTGTAGACAGACTTTAGCTGCTGCGGTGCACACAAGGTGTTACTCACTGATCGAGAAGAAACAGAGCAACCTCGGCATCCGCTCGCAGGTTTTCCTCTCCTCAAGTTCTCTCCAGCGCTGGAAAGCTGATCCGATATTTACACGGGTCCTACGTCTTGCCTTAAGCCTTAATTTTTTCCCGCAGACGTGTTCCTCTTTTGTTTTTCATCCGCCATCTCTATCTTTCTGTCGCTAGTCTCGGCTAATGTCCGTCCCGTGCACTGAACTCTTTCTCCTCCACATCATGTGTAGACACGCCCCTTACTGCTGATTGGCTACAAGTTTGTTTTGCCATTCAGCCCAAATCAGTTTTCTAAAGCGTTTTTGAAAAATCGCTTACCCCACTTTTAAGTTCTGGCACTTTTATTTAGGCTTCAAAATTCATGAAAGCTATATTATTTTGTGAAGATTATCTTGATGGACAAAACGTGTAAGTTTCATGAACTATGACTGAACACGGAGCTTATTTTTTGCGATAATCCAAAAGCCTATGGAAAAATCCTATTGGCTTTTTGTCGAGGGAACCAGTGCGATGCTAACAGCCGATCCGCCAACAAAGTAACGTCATAGTTCCCCCACTCTATTCAAAAGCAGATGTTTAGCAGAATGTTCACGCTGCTAAGCACATGGCACACAGAGCACATGGCGATTTACAGTCGACCTTTACGCGTTATAACAGCAGCACATGTGACTGCTGCACTGTTTTCCAGGTCCTCTGAAATCATGATGTTTTTGTGTGAGAAACAGACTGAAATTGAAGTTATCTACTCAAGAAACAGAACAAAACATCAAGTCATCAGATGACTTCATAAGACTTGGATTACAGCGCATTTATAATAGTTGAGATATTTTACGTTCCTTTTGGGAGAACTGCTTAAAATACAATTAATATTCAGTGATCTGATGGATTAAAACCACTGATCTATTGAAGTGCACTGCACTGAACTACGGCTTCGAAAGTGTGCAGCGACGCCTGCAATCAGCCTGATAATTAAAATGAGGAAAATGTGTGTTTGGTTGAGTTTTAGAGAAGCGCTTCAGTTTACAGATGTTCATCCAGTCAGCATTACGAACTATACTTGGATTATTTGAAACAATCGTATTCTCTTTAGCCGGACATTACTGAATATGATTGGAATATCTGAAACAATCATATTGGTTTTAACGGTTACCCTTTCAAACACATTAGATTATCATATTTTGTCAACAGCTCAAATGGCAAAGCATATTGCTTTTACATGTTTCTTTTTCAAAACAGTGATACGTTTAATAATCCAAGTGTTATTTTTCTCATCACCAGCACATTTGTATTAAAACCATTTAATCGCCATGACACGCACACCCACAAAAATGCCCATTCCTAATTTCTATTTTATTTAATTTTAATAATCCCAGGAAAAACTCTTCAGCTGCATCAAGCTAACTTTGAGCATTTAAGGTGCGTCTCCTTTCTGAAGCACTGATGGAGGATGTTGTGGACAGCAGTCTGGCCAGGTTTTGAGTGAAAAGGGCCGAGATTGTAATTCTCTATTTTCCTGTCTCTAACACCGTTTAGCCTCTCCGGTTTCTCCGCTAATGGAATTAGGACCGTCCCAAGACACGCGCTCTCAGAGAAAGGAGAGAAGACGTGATAAAAATCTTCACTTTCCAGAGGCTTCAAATCTTATTGGCCTGTCATAATAGCCCATAACGTTCCGGTAAGCGTCTCGCACGCTCCGTCCGCAGGCGCGTCTCGGGGGACACCGAGGCAGATGCTCGCGGGCCGCAGACGAGCGCGCTCCTTCGACTCCAGACCGGCAGAGTCTTCCTCCAACCCATCAATGCCAACCAGATTAGCGGCAGAACGGCTGAAAGCCAATACGGCCATTTGCGCTGGGGAGAAATCCTCAAAGTGTCCTCTTCAGGGGTTAGCGAGGGAGGTTGTGGACATTAACGTTTCCTTGTAAATTAATAAAGCCCATTTTGCCCTTCTTATCTTTGTTTTGACCAACATTAGGACCAAATATTTACATTCGGCGCTTTAAGTGGCGATCGGGTTTCAGAAATCTCTTCCTGTAGACCAGATTCCAATCTATAACCATTTGGATGGGCATTGCGGAGCTTCTAATCAGGTTTGGCCAATAAGCAAAATTTTCACAGGGCCGTCGACAGACCTTCCTATGTGTCAGTGCACGATACTGCACACTAGCAGGCAGAAGTTTAGACACGTTTATCTGATTTAGTGTTGTTCAGGCTTACAAGTCTGTTTGTGCACAAATATAAAGTATGCATATGTAACTGTAACTATCTTTTATTATTACTCTTTTTTTAATGCATTGAGTTGGAGCAGATATCTAGACAAAGAAGAAGCTCAAATATATAATGTGTCACATAGGGCTGGGTTGAAAATATCGATTTTAATCGATTCTCATTTTAATGAAACACTATGTTCGATGTTTTCAGTTGATGCGTCAACAAAACGTCACTAAACATTATTTGTAGCACGCCAGCCATCCAATAATTGCAATAAGCTTTGTGCAGCCTCATGTGAACCGATCACCTCTTCCTCTTTACTACTACTTACAGCACCAAATAAACATGAATGAACATCAAGGGTTTGGGCTGAAAGAAACACAATAACTTACTGAAATGAATCATGTCTCATGTAATCAGTGATTCAACCGCCAAAAGACGACAATACAACAGCTTGTGATCAATAATCTTACACAACATCACACTTTATCTCAGGAAAGATATTCAATGTCCATAAACTCGTTAGTCAGATAAAAAAAATCACTCTAAAGAAGAGCATTTTGATAAAAATCCTATTGATATTACATATTATATTTTTATATTATATTTTTAAAATTTTATAAATTTTTTACTGAATATTTAACGTATGTTTACATAAATCGATTATGAAATCCACTGTTTAAATGTTCATATTTCGAAAACAAATTGGAGTAGACAATTATATAATTAAATATTAATTAATACATTTTTATTATATAACAGATTTTTATTATAAAAACTGCCATAAGTGCAATCTAAATGTCTGTTAACAAATAAATTTAACATAGTCATGTACTAACAGAAAGGGGTTTAATTTTATAGTTTACAGCTTTAAGTTTGATATCCAATAAATAGATAGATACATATAGATATCGAATCAAAGTGAGATCAAAACTGAATCGAATTGTAGGCTAGTGAATGGAAATCAAATGGTGAAATTTGTCTCAATACAGAGCCCTAGTGTCATGTTTTCATCTCCACATTATCCCCAGACTTCCATTTGTGTTATTTCAAAGTTAATCACTTTTTTTCCTGAAATGCAGAAAATCTATTAACAAAACTGAGTAGGTGAGCACCAACCTTTGACTGGCAGGGTATTAAAAACACATTTCAAAGAACCAATGACTGTATAATCTTGACTGTTACAGACCTCATATCGACTTCATTGAAGGTTGTGAGCATGGCACAGGTGTTCTGCGCTTCCTTCAGCCGCTGAGCGATTCGCTGTCTCATGCGGTTCATCTTCACCTGCAACAAAACCACAAGTGGGCTGAGCAAGGGAACGCTGGGCCTCAGCAGAATTTGTGCTACTTTTAATATAATTTCATGCAAAACGCACTGTTAATATAGAGACCATTTCAATGCACTTTTTTATTTTTTTATCGAGTTTCTTAAAGAGCACAGATAGAGTGATTGGGGTCACTGATTCAACCATTAGGCATCACTCAAAATGTTCATGAAAATATCCAAATGGCATTTAACACTGTTACACATATACACAGACATTGAAAAACATACATTGCATTTAATTTGGTAAACAACACCTTGATTATTTTTCACATTTATACTGTTTTAGTTCTTGCATTAAACATTTTGAATCAAATGGCGACAATGCAATAGGCTCAACTAATGTGTATTTGATACATGTTTGATTATTATCCAAATAAATGACTGGAAATGGCTGAAAAAGGCATTATTTTGGAGGTCTCCCATAGACCAGTGTTTGTATTTAACATCTTGTTTGGTCACTAGTAGTGAATGCCTGCATTAAGGCCTCCTAAATTAATTTTAGTAGTGTAGTATAATTTTATGTAATGCCATGTCAGCATCTTAGGCTATTTTAATGGCAAAAACTCAATTACAAAAATACAAATATCACAAATACAATAAAAACCAAGCAAGCATGCAAACACAGCAAGTAATATTATACAAGATTTTTTAAATTAACATACAATAAAAATTCTAAAACCTTTTCAGGCAAAATCTTACTAAATAGGTCCTTAAGTGAACTAACTTCATAAAAGAGCTTTCAATTTGCATTAAAACCGGGACAGTCCAAAAGAATATGTTTTCTAAATTAATTTGAACTAATCTGTTAAAATTAACAGACTAAACTAAACGTTTAAGTGACAAACAGATCAATATGAAACTAAAAAAATAACATCAATGCTTGCTTTAAAGTCAAAAGTGGACCTGAATGGTGCACTCGAGTAAATGGCATTTAACACTGTTACACATATACACAGACATTGAAAAACATACATTGCATTTAATTTGGTAAACAACACCTTGATTATTTTTCACATTTATACTGTTTTAGTTCTTGCATTAAACATTTTGAATCAAATGGCGACAATGCAATAGGCTCAACTAATGTGTATTTGATACATGTTTGATTATTATCCAAATAAATGACTGGAAATGGCTGAAAAAGGCATTATTTTGGAGGTCTCCCATAGACCAGTGTTTGTATTTAACATCTTGTTTGGTCACTAGTAGTGAATGCCTGCATTAAGGCCTCCTAAATTAATTTTAGTAGTGTAGTATAATTTTATGTAATGCCATGTCAGCATCTTAGGCTATTTTAAAGGCAAAAACTCAATTACAAAAATACAAACACAGCAAGTAATATTATACAATATTTTTAAAATTAACATATGATAAAAACTCTAAAACCTTTTCAGGCAAAATCTTACTAAATAGGTCCTTAAGTGAACTAACTTTATAAAAGAGCTTTCAATTTGCATTAAAACCGGGACAGTCCAAAAAGAATATGTTTTCTAAATTAATTTTAACTAATCTGGTTCTCCTGCAATTAAACTAACGTTTAAGTGACAAACAGATCAATATGAAACTAAAAAAATAACACCAATGCTTGCTTTAAAGTCAAAAGTGGACCTGAATGGTGCACTCGAGACCAGCACAGCAAGTGTTTTCAAACTGGGGTGTGCGATATATGTTGTACAGTAGTATGCAAAACGTCACAAACGTTCAGCGTGTAACCTGCACAGTGTGTCGATGCAGACAGCAGGTGCGAGGACTCTCACCCTGTGCTCTGATCGGGCGGCTTTGGCTCCGGCGTCAGTGTCAGCAGCAGCAGCAGGAGCTGCAGTGGGTTTGATGGCTGAAACTACAACACAGACACAAACCAAGAGCGTTTCATGTCAAACGTTTAGTCGAAGTTAATATCACAATACACCAATCTCAAGCTCTACTGAACAGCACCATCTATGATGCCCCTATGATGAGATTTCACCATGTAACCGGGGGAAACTCCTGACCTGGTTTGGACTGGATGGGCTGGGCCGGCACAGGGGGTACAGGGGGCATGCTGGTGGGGATGGGCCCTCCAGCAGCAGCAGCAGGAGCAACAGGAGGAGCAGCAGGAGGAGGAGGAGCAGTCTCTGCTGCAGGAGCTGGTGCTGCTGCCGTCTTAGCAGCTCCAGCTGAAACACAGTCAGAGCTGAAACCACTGCAGCACTCATTTATAATAATAACCACTTCCTAGCACGGAAAGTCCAGACGCTTTATTTCTGGTTATGGTTATGATGAAGATGGACTTTTTAAATAGGGGGGTTTCTTCAGCTAACAGCTTTATTAAAACGTGTACATTTAATTGTTGTAATACTCCCATACTTCTAATATCTTAATATGTGATCTTAGTCCATCAGCATAATTTTATTTATTTATTTTTTAAATCTCAAGCTCTCTCAAGTAAGGTTTCCTTGGCTTTAATAAGTTTATTCACATAGTGCTTGTCACATTTCAAAGCAGCTTCACATAAAATTAATGTTTCAGTGTTACAAACAGGAAGTATTCTGTTATTGGTTAAAGCATCATCCATACGGCGGTAATATAGAGCAAATGTTATCTGGTTAGTAAACATCATGTAATCAGTTAAACACACACTGAACATGTTAGGAAGTGACTTCAGCGTATGATTGTAATGATTATAATATAGTTCAGAACATTGCTTTAAAGGGCACCTATTATGCCCCTTTTTATAAGATGTAATATTGGTGTTGGGTGTCCCCAGAATGTGTCTGTGAAGCGTCAGCTCAAAATACCCCACAGATCATTTATTATAACATGCTGAAAATGTCATTTTTGGTGCGTATCACTTTAAATGCAAATGAGCTGCATATTCCCGCCCCGTCTCCAGAAGAGGGCGTGGCGTTGCATACCTACAGCAATAAACAGTAGAAGCAGCATGACTGAGAGCGAGGGAACCAGTGTTCGGCCGTACAAGTTTGAACCAGAGTCACACAGATGGAGAAATAAAATACGGTTCAAACGTTAGCTAAGCACTAAAACGGCATGATTTTGAGGCGCATTACCTTCAAAAATAAAAGTAATCCACTGCGTCCTCAGTGGCTTAGATGTTGGGAGAAAATTGCATTGCATTGCTTACAAGACACTGCTGACGTTACAGCTTCTCAAGCACGAACAACCAAACCCAACTCGCTGAGGGCGGAAACTACGGTAACGCAGGCCTGTCAATCAGCGGCCGTGGGCGGGGCCTAAACATCATTGTAGGGTGGTTGTGTTCACACACTGCCAACACACATTTATGTCCAAACACCATGTAAAAGTGGGTTTTGCATAATTAGTGCCCTTTAATATATATTTAGCAAACAGTAACATGGCTGACCTCCTTTCTTGAGTTTGAACAGAGGAGTTCCTCCTTCCACTTTGCCTCCGTCAGGAACCAGCAGCTCCTCGATGACTCCTGCAGCTGGAGAGGGAACCTGCACCGACGTCTGCAGGACATTTACATTTACACATTTAGCAGACACTTTTACCCAAAGTGACTTACAAATGAGGACAATGGAAGCAATCAACAAAAGAGCAATGATATGCAAGTGCTATAACTAGTCTCAGTTAGCTTAATGCAGTACAGGTAGCAAGTTTTTTTGTAAATCATATAATAAATACGAAGAAAACAAATAGATAGAATACAAAAAGATTAGAGAAGCAAGTGTTAAGGACAGACACAACTCAACACTACACACACACACTACAGATACATAACACCAAACAAACGCGGCAGATATTTCTGTGAAGTTTGCACCTATAGTTTTAAGGGTTAGGTTTATATATGGTGCTAGGTTTGTATAGGAACTTTAACTGAAAGATAAAGAGTCCTGTGCACCGTGTTCAGAGGAGTGAATCTGTCCTGCAGTTTATGGTTTGCAACCTTTCTGCTGTAGTCAAACTGAATGTTTTTAGGTGCTTTTTTTATTTTTGTATATTTTATACAAAATGCTTAGGATAGAATATATAGACTTAAATTGCGCACATTGTTATTTTCAGGACACTGGACATGAAAATGTGATGAACGCATTTAGAGAATAATTATTACTCGCAGCCCTGTTTAGCTAACTACTTGTCAGATCAAACTGCATACACTTTCAAAATCGAGTTTTGTTCCTCACACTAAACTCAAGGTCTTATCTCCTTGAGGTTCAACAACAACTCCACTCCAGCGGTCGGGATGCTCTTAAGGAAGCCCTGTAATGTTAGACAGATTTAGAGTCATGTTCATCAGATGGGTTTCTTAACGGTTGCTGAAATAGGACACACTCTTGCTGCCAAAAACAGCCTGGAACAGAAGGCAGGTGTCCAGAGGCACGGTATATCAAAGGTTGAACTATTTTTAACTTGACACATTTTCTTAAATAAATGCAATGCTCAACACTGCACTAACAGTGAGACGCTACACAACAACCAAAGATGCACGTCTGACAAATGTGTACACACACCAACGATTAAACAGTAATTGTGAACATTCAAAACATTTAACAGAATGTGCTTCTTACCTTATCGGTCTCAATTTCACAGACGACCTCATCTTCAGAGACTGTGTCTCCAACAGCTAAAGACACACAGAACAGAGTGAATGGGGTCCAATGGGGCGAGACGTCTGTCCTGCACACCTGCTGAACTCATCTTACCTTTCTCCCACCTGACGTCTCCCTCTGTGACAGACTCGGCAAACGCTGGTGTTTTCACTGTAATAACTTCATTCCCTGCAATCGCAGAAGACAGTTAATGTGGAAGTTGTGTGCTGTGCAACTGTAGAAAGGTGTTAACCAACAGAGAGCTCTCTATAGAGTGATAGCTGCCTACATATTATCCGGCTTATTACACGGATAACTTTACACAAAACATTGGCTTCACTTATATACACTGGCAGTCAAACGTATGGAATAAATAAGACTTTTTAAATGTTTTTCAAAGAAGTGTCTTCTGCTCACCAAGGCTTTGATCAAAAATACAGTGAAAACAGTAACGTTCTGAAATAAGCCTATTATTAGAGTTTAAAACAGTTGTTTTCTGTGTGAATCTCTGTTAAACTGTAATGTATTTCTGTGATGCGCAGCTGTATTTTCAGCATCATTCCTCCAGTCTTCAGTGTCACATGATCTTCAGAAATCAGTATAATATGCTGATTTTGTTGAAATACTATACATATTTTATTATGTGTATTTTTATTTTTTTTTATCTGAGCTGAACATGAAGTAATAACCAGCAGATTCCGAACTAATCAACAGCGCCAGCCCTATGAAATTAACTTATGATGAAATAATAAATAAAGCAGAGGACCTTAAAATCAAGACTTGTGTGCATCAGTGACGGCTGACCCTGACCTTCAGAAGAAAAGTGACCTTAAATAAGTGAAAGAATTGTGTTGACTGTACGATACAAACACCAAACTGTGAAGGGAATGGTACACAGTCTAATCGTGACTAAAAGCAAGGCAAACTGATGATGATGCTGCTGCTGAGACCTTGTTTCAGGGCTGATACGTACTGTGAGCGGTCGTGGTGTTGAAGTATCTGATCTGATAGACGCTTGACCGGCTCTCACAGCTCCTGAAAATCAACAGCACAACACAATCCAGTCAGATCCTGGACTCTGTATCAGCTGGGAACACCAGGAGCGAGGAATCCTCCGGGAGACTTCAGAGATACTTACGGGCGGTTCTTGACGGCGACACACTGACTCGCTGATATACCTGGAGAGAAAACGAGACACAGGAACATCTAATCAGGTTTGTTTGCACTGTCAGAGAAAGATACGAGACTGTCACACATGTACTTTTACAGAAAACACCTTCTATGTCAACTCGCAACATGCTATCTGACAACTCACCTGATGTCGCCCGTCTTGCGAGAGCACTGTTACCCTAGAGAGAAGAACAAGACGACACCAGTGCATCAGTGAGCAGAATGAGAGCACTGACCAAGCAGCAAAACAAACAGCAACGCTCATCATAGGGCTGGGCGATATAGCTAAAAAAAAATTATCAACGATAGGGCTGCACGATAAATCGAAATGGAATGGAGATCGCGATTCGACAGAAGCTGTGATTGTCGTGCGTATCTTTCAGTGAAGCACGGTTCTGTGATCAGCAGTAAATCTCCATCCGAAGGCCAGAGAAACTCCAAATATGCCTCGCAGAAGAAACCCAGAAAATGCCTATCGCTGCGGCTGAATAAACAGAAGATTCAACTGCTTTCACTGATTCAACGTGACTAATAAACACACGACTACGGCAATATACGGTTTATCGGAGTTCTTATTATTATAGTTTTCATTAAAATAAAGTATATTTATAATGCAATGCCTTTATCACTGCTTAAATACTATGAAATATGTTGCGTGTCTTATTCGGGATTTATTTCAAACACTCGACTGACGTTATGAAGTGAGTTTGGAGTAAAAACATGTTATTAAATGTGGTATTTTCACATGCTTTCAGATGGAGCAGCATTTACTTCACAGAGCCGTAGTTCACTGAGAAGCTGTCATTATCAGGAACGATTTCTTCGATTTCATAATCGCGCAATAAAATCTATTTTTTTGCGTAGCTTGTCAGTGAGCTACGGCTGTGTGTAGTAAATGCTGCTCCATCTGAAAGCATGTGATGATGATTTACTACTGATCACAGAACAAAATGCACATGACAACCGCATTCGATTAATCGTGCAGCCCTAATCAACGATATAATGTTTCATATAGTTCGTATCGATAATTATTGACATTTTTTATAACCTTTTTTAAAACAAAGAGCAATAGAATTTTTTTTTTTAATTTAACCACTGTATTTTTAAATTAACCCAATTTATTGAGACAAACAATACATATTTTTTGTTTTAACAATCAAACACAAAATAAAAATTAAACAAATATCTAATGTTTTATATGCAGATTAAACAGATTTTAAGGAAACTTTTGGCTCGTCTCCCGAGGCCACAGGAGGGCGCAACGAGCAAAATAATGCAGCACATTTAAATTGTCAACGCAAGGAAGTAACGCTATAAAAAAAAACATGCATTACGTCTAAATTAACTGATATAAATCAAATATAATTTCGTAAATTGCATAAACAATTATGAACAAAATAGCATAATGTATTTATGCATTGCTCAATCCAAAGAGCCGAAGCGCCGATCACGCAGACTGCATTTAAACACATACGAGACGCGGTGAAAAGGAATAAACCTTCACAAATTCGTGACGTGTTTTCTAAAAGTTTAAACTGTTTTAACTTTGCATGGCTTCATCTCTTGTGTGAGACGCGAGAGCAGCGGTCGTATTTGTCCGTCTAAAAAATGCGCTGAATATGCGTTCTGTGTGAATGGCTTGGTTTGGGTTTTAACCTAATCGAGATCTTCTCCGCATCGAGCGTCTATATTTCTCTAATATTGTGAATGAATAACGCAGCGGCGGCGCGTCTCGTGGGCTACACTAACAAAACATTAAACTTTAACGTCACTTGCATCATCGTCACCGCATCTCGCGCGCCACTGATGACGCACTCCTAACATTAAAATGTTTATTATTCAATCTAATATTCATTCTTCATTCACAATCTCCTCATCGCGGGCAGCGCAGCACTCAGCATGTGCTCGTGTTTGTGTGTGCTGTCTGCGTCACTCAGAGCACATTTGTTTCTATCGGACCTTTAAGTTTTTGCCTAAATACAAGTCTGGTTTAATTGGATGAGAGAAATGCATTATCATTTTATATTCAAATATAATATTCAATGTGATAAATAATACTTTAACACTTTATTGCCATCATATCTCACCTCCTGCGGAAAACCATTCACAATAAACTGACCTCACTGGACAACAGCCTCCTTTACCTGCCCTCCTCAAACGCCAGCGGCTTCGATCCCGAGTCCAACAGCGCCGATGATTTTGCTCGAGAGGAGCAGAGCTGCCTGTCCTTCAAAGACGAGGATCTGTCTGTGAGCGAGCACCTCCAAGCCAAACGCGCCCGGGTGGAGAACATCATACGAGGCATGGCTGCTTCGCCCAACGCCGACGGAGAAGCGGAGAGCGAGTGCGAAGCCGTCCGCTGTAGAAGAGACCTCCTGAAGGAGAACAAACGCAAGCAGAGGCTCCCCCAGCACCAGGAGCCCACTCAGTCCAACGCAAAGACCGGCAAAGACGAATGTAATTCTATAGTACATCGCAAACTGTTATATAATTAACTAGGCATAATCATAACAGGCAAGAGTGCTACTGTACTGAATATCAGCACGGTTTTAAGTTGATTCGTGTTCCTCGTCCACATGTTCATTGGTACAGCGCAGGACTTTCTTTGACAAAGCAATCCAACGATTTGTTTTAACTGTGCTCTGAAGCTCTGTGTTGAAGGATCACTATTTAATAAGAACACGTGCTGCAAACTCATAGTTTTAGCTACATTAGATTAAAGACGCGTTTAAAATTCCAATGAAATGTTCAATACCACAAACGCCACTGCATTTATGGGATGCATTTTTCTGTCACAAATGTCTACATTTCTGTCAATATTACTTCTATCACAAAACATCGAATCGTGAGACTCTCCACCGATATATATATATATATATATGCTGTCATGATTATAAAAGACCTAATATGACACTTGACCACGCCCCCTTAGGTCAAAATATTTAAAAGTACGGTTTCCACGGTAACGCACTGTCCGATTTCAGAATGCAATGCATTCTGAGGTTTTCAGCTTTCACATGATACGTGATAAAATATGTGATAGGAACAAAAAACAGCGCCAAGAGTCGCAGAGCTGGGGACAGATCACTGCCAATAAAGTTGTACGAAAAGTTGAAATTAAACACACTTATTTTACATACTTAGGAAAAAAAAAAATGCATGGCTGACATACTTTTAAAGTGACCTGCAGTGGGTGTAGCCAGTAATCTCAGTATGACCCCTTTAAGGCGGATATGACGAACACTGAACAGAGACAGCGGTGACCTCACGTGACGTCACAGGCCTGCTCTCACTGAGGGCGACAGCTCGGTCACGTGACGCGCCTCGGTTTACCTCACTCTTTAAAGCGTGATGAACACACCGTATAGCGCAGCAAAAGCGGGTGTGGCCGTCATTACTGTGCTGTAAACTCTCTCGGTCTCTCTCTCGGTTCTGCTGCGAGTGTCCTGCTGCCCTTGGGCCCGCGGCCTACCGCTCGCGCGCGTCGCCCCGCCGCCGGTTAACGGTCTCTCGGTCAGCCCGAGCGGCGCAGACGGCTCTCTCGCACACACACGTACCTGTCGCAGGGCGGAGAGCGAGCGCCCGAGGCTCCGGGTGAGACAGCGGGAACGGGACAACATGTCGTCGGGATGGACCGAGCTCACTGCAGCTCTCACGGCACAGCACCGGAAGCAGCGCCGCCGCGAACCGGAAACCGCGCGGAGCATACCATGATGCATCAGAGCGGGGGGAGTGGAACGTACCATTGAGTCCCCACTCGTCTTACTTCTTTTATCCAAAACGAAGGGGAAAAAAGCCATTCGTCAAGGATCCAACAATATTTGTGATATGCAATGGCAGGAAACGCTCCCCCCCCCCCCGCTTTTATATAGTTTTATTATATATATACATATACATATACGAAATTACTATTTTTATTCTATAGAGATATGTAATTCTTTGTGGTTATTTGTTATGAGGTGCAGGAAACGTACAAACCAGCCAAATCAAAGTATCTAATAGCCTACATTTTCAGCAGCTCCAGCAATAACAATGAACAAAACACCTAAAGGAAGGAAAACAGGATTCAACAAGTACATGAGTTGGTGACAGCATTTTTTTATTTCTAATATTCAGTTGCACTGAGATGCAAAATAGTAGATTCCTTGTATTTATATATTTGAACTTCATTCACGACACCGCTTTAAAACAAGGAGGCGTTTTCAGTAGTGCTTTGTATTGTGTATTCGGCCTCTGATTGGCTGGTGTGTTGATGAAGGCGGCTCTGACCACGCCCACTCTCGGCTGCAGCGAGAGGAGAGCGCGCGCGGAGCACACACCGTCAGTCACGCGTCTCCAGAGCAACAGGTAAGCCTCTGCTCTCCTCACCTGCTGGAGCTGCTTTCACCGGCTGCACTGGTGTAGCCTCGCTCTGCATTAGAATGCTAATATATGAAAAGCATAGAGATATGAAGTGACAGACTCAAGACACGTAATGCATAATGTAAGTAGCCTATATATATGTTTCATTTTTTCTAATTCTTTCTATATATCAATCTGATCATGACTACTATATATTAAATACAAACATAAAAAGAGGGGGATTTATCAGAAGCAGAATATATCAGATATATAGAAAGAATTAGAAAAAAGTCTGTATTAATGTCACAAGAAGAAGGTTTAACTGCAAATAATGAATAAATGTGTTTCTGAATTTAGACTATTTAGTGTTTTGCTTCTGTGTTGTTAACGTTTCTTCTTTTATCTTTTGAAATCTTATGCATATTTTTTTCTGTTTGTGATCATAACATGAAACGGCTCAAGAAAAGTATTATTTTCATATATAATGAACACTGATCACTGATTGAATATGAATATATGCTTGAATTTGTCTATCTTGCATGCATTTATGGATAAGAGTGTAATACTGTTTATGGTAATGTAGGACTGAGATATGAGGGCTTAATGCAGAGTTACCGTAATGCCTAATTAATTTTTTTTACACATCACCAGTTTCCGAGGCTCATTATTGTGTACGGAAAGTCCTGCGAAAACCATGAACCTGAGCCCGCCTGAACACAGCATGCACAAGCCGAGCGACGGCTGCGTGGACGGCAGCAAAGCCGAGCACTTGCTCCCCTGCTACCGCAGAAGCAGATACGACGAGCCTCTGGCGTCCTACCACAGCGGCTCCATCATATCTCACCTCCTGCGGAAAACCATTCACAGTAAACTGACCTCGCTGGACAACAGCCTCCTTTACCTGCCCTCCTCAAACGCCAGCGGGCTCGATCCCGAGTCCAACAGCGCCGATGATTTTGCTCGAGAGGAGCAGAGCTGCCTGTCCTTCAAAGACGAGGATCTGTCTGTGAGCGAGCACCTCCAAGCCAAACGCGCCCGGGTGGAGAACATCATACGAGGCATGGCTGCTTCGCCCAACGCCGACGGAGAAGCGGAGAGCGAGTGCGAAGCCGTCCGCTGTAGAAGAGACCTCCTGAAGGAGAACAAACGCAAGCAGAGGCTCCCCCAGCACCAGGAGCCCACTCAGTCCAACGCAAAGACCGGCAAAGACGAAGAGTGCCACAAACTCAAGGAGCAGCTCCAAAGCATGCAGCGTCTCCTGCATCAGCTCCAGGAGAAGATCTCGCACGTGCATGACCAGAATTACTCGGAGAGCGAGGACCGGGAAGATGCGAGGTCAGAGCACTCGAGTCTGAGGCTGGATGGTGGACACAAAGACCGAGTCAAAATGGAACCCGGTGGTTTCGGCTCCGACAGGGCGGTGAAGAACCTTCAGGAGACTCTCAAATGCGAGCTGACCAGGACTGTGAGCGAAAGCGTCGATATGGTCTTCAAGAAACTCTCCATGACCCTACTAAATCATCCGCCCCAGCCGCAGCCGTGCCACAGTCCGGAGTACTCGGAGACCGAGAAGCGAATCCCAGATGATTCCCCTTCGGAGCCGTCAGACGATGAAATCGTCAAAGCCAGGTCTGCGGAGCACTTTGAGAGCAACAGCCCGGAGCACCAGACCGAAGCCTTGTCCCTAGTGGTCCGTAAACCTTCCCTGAGCCAGGCTGTGAAGAGACCTTTCCCGCTGCACCAGACGCCTTTCCAGTTCGGCTACAGTGCTCCTCTGCACGACAGCCAGATCCTGGAGCACCTGCTGAAGTACGGCCCTCACTCCACCTTCTCCGCAATGCCTTGCCTGCCGGCGTCTCTGGAGCGGCCCTCGCCGGACTCCATGGAGCATCCGTGGGAAAGCGTGGCCATGAGATCCAAGCTGAGCTCGGGGCATCTGGGTCAGCACCATCGCGCCGGACCTCCTGGACTGGTGTCGGTGGACGCGCTCTGCCTTCCTCACGTCAAGATGGAGCGTGGAGATCTGCAGAGCATGGCTGAGAGGAGCTCCTTCATGACGCTCAGTATATCCTTTGAACGCTTGAAGGGATGTTTCATCCAAAAATGATCATTCTGTCCTCATGTGGTTCCAAACCTGTATGACTTTTTTAGTTTAGAGACCAATTTTCACTTTTAACTAGCATGCATATGACTTACAAATTAGCTATTTATTAGTACTTATAAAGCACATATGTGACCCTGGAGCACAAAACCAATGTATTGCTGGCTATTATTTGGTATGGGTCAAAATGATCGATTTTTCTTTAATGCCAAAAATCATTAGGATATTAAGTAAAGATCATGTTCCATGAAGATATTTTGTAAATGTCCTACTGTAAATATATCAAAACTTAATTTTTGATTAGTAATATGCATTGCTAAGAACTTCATTTGGACAACTTTAAAGATGATTTTCTCAATATTTAGATTTTTTTGCACCCTCAGATTCCAGATTTTCAAATATTGTCCTATCCTAACAAACCATACATCAATGGAAAGCTTATTTAGTCAGCTTTCAGATGATGCATAAATCTCATTTTCTGAAAAATTTACCCTTTTGACTGGTTTTGTAGTGCAGAGTCACATATTAATGCATTATTCTGCATGTGCATATTTTAGATCCATTAATCTCTGCTCCATACCTAAACCTAACAACTACCTTACAGACTATTAATAAGCAGCAAATTAGGAGTTTATTAAGACAAAAGTTATAGTCAATAGTGAGAATTGGTCCCCGAACTAAAGTGTGACATTTTTTCCTTATGAGGAGCATAGAACATGTTATTATGAGAAATGTCTCAGTGTTTTTTAGTCTATACAGTGGAAGTAATATCGTAAGAAATATCTTGCTGTCGCTCGGAAGAAAGAAAATCATATATTAGGGTGAACTGTCTCTTTAGTTGACCAATAAATGTCAAAAATGATTGAGAAAAATTATATCTCTGTCACATGATTTGAAAGCACAAGAGGAAAATTGTATTGCTCAGAGGTTGCTCTTCTATATCTCATAAGAGTTCTTAGTTATTCTCAGATATTAATCCTGAAATTCATTAGTAAAAATTTAAAATGGTAACACTTTACAGGTTAGTTAATGCATTAACTAACATAAACTAACAATGAACAACATATTGTTTAAAGCATTTATAAATGATAAAATAGTGAATACATGACACATTTAATGTTTGTTTGTGTTTGTTCACAGCGCATTAACTAATGTTAAAAAATCATACAACGTCTCATTTGAAAACATACTAGTAAATGTTAAAAATTAACATGATTAATAAATGTTGTATTGTCCATTGATAGTTCATGTTAACTCATTTAGTTCACTAATGTTAAGTGTTTCTATAAAAATAGTCAGAAATGAGTCAGAGTTGTCATACAGTGTGAGCATGAGAAGTGTTTGAGAAATGTTTCATATTTCAGTCTTTAATAACCTGGCAGGCCGTTTGAAACACTGTCGAGATCCCTTTTCATCAGAAACACAAGGAGAAACTTCTCAAATCAGGAGAAAAGAGAAAACCCAGACTGAGATTTTTCTGACTTATGTCTACAATCTCGTAAAGATGTTTTGCATGCAAATGCACAGCAAATGTCGTGTTTAAGCATCAGATTAATGTTTCAGGAGTCACAGCAAGGTGGATTATGTTCTTTGTTTAGCTTCAGCTGCTTTTGAAAAATCCCCCTCTTTGTTTAGTTGACTGCTTTTATTTAATATATAGTAGTTAACATTGAGATATTGCTGAACAAACCACCAGCTCTCGAGCTCGGCGAACAATCGTTGAGTTGAGTGCAGCGGTGAGCAGTTCCACTCACGCAGACTTCAAGGAGAATTTTTGCTTTGATCTCGGTAACCCCAAAGAAAATTGTAGCATCTTCTTTAATCTGGGCTCGGTAATGACTTTAAGTCCAGGAAAAGACAAATAAAAAGGAATACAAGGCTTTGATAAGAATTGTTAGGAACAAAAGCCAATTTTCAAAGGCAGAAAAAGCAACAGTTTCTCTTCTGGAAATTCTCTGATTTTTTCCCCCCGCTCAGACTTGAAAAGGTGCGGGATATGTTTCTGCACTCTCGATGCGATTGGGATGAGAGAGGTCACTTTTGGTTGTTTGTGAACCGCAAGCTCTCAGCTGTCATTATACACCATCATCAATGCTCAGAGTGTCATATACATATGTGACGAAAATATCGCAGCATGCAGAAAGCTTGGCTTTTAAACGTCATTAGACTTCTATAATATGTGACCCTGGAGCACAAAACCAGTCTTAAGTGTCAATTTTTCAAAATTGAGGTTTATGCATCACCTAAAAAGATGAATAAATAAGCTT